ACTTTAGAATTTAATTATTTTCTAAAATATTGTTTTAATCTTTTTAATGAATTGAATAAAATGATATTTATCAAACAAAATTTATTAACAGATACATCTTAAAATATTAAGATTTTAAACATAACAAAACATATTTTGAATACTATTATTAAATTAATCTGTTTTAATTATGTAATAATAATTAATATTTTTCTAATTATTATATTCTGAGAGATATTTATTTAATTAATACCATACTATTACAATAAATTATTCATTTATAATAGTGTTCTACAAATTGAAAGATTCTATTAACTAAATTATAAATAAAATTTGCTTTTTCATTAGTTTATATATATATTAAATTAATATTATAGCCTTTAAAATATGTAAATCTATAAAATCTGCACTTCTATAATTCTTTTTATTCCATCATTATTCTTATTCTTCAAATATATATACTATGTAATATAAATGCAAAATAAATTAAAAATATTTTTGATCCTTTTCATATATAAAATATCTCATTATTGTCTTTTGAGAATGATAAGTAAAAATAATTCTTAATAATAATTAGATTGACACTATGATTTTATATTGATAAGAATGAAATTTTGATAATGATGCTTTTTGCTATAAATATAATCAATGTTTAAACATTTTCCCAAGAATGTCACTTATTTTCCCTTCAAAATCGCAACTAGGTTCTAGTACCATTTTATGAAAAGAGTCCACCCATGTACTACCTCCTTAGTATGCCTTTGTATATTAATTGAAAATCAAACCTAAAATGGAGTTCCGAAACAATGAACACATCCTACAATACATAATACACAATTCACAAGTTCAAATCCACAAAATGCCATAAATAAGACAAACAAAACTTTCCAAAGTGTACTTCCAATGCTTTTAAAGACTATATAATATGAAATATAACTGTTACTTTTTGATGTGATATCACATGTTCTAGCACAATTATGCAAAAAAGAGTAGTAACTGAACCATTATGGGCAACAAAGAATGCACATCACAATTTTGATAGGCTAAATGAAATATTCAAAAGTGATACATCTGCCATTGAATTTTAGTTTTATAAAGATTTTATTATTTGTTAATTTTTTTGTTTTTTACCAATTAAATACTATTAATTTGTATAAATTTATAATGGGGGAAGCTTAAAATTTCAGTAATATGATTTTTAACAACTCATGTTTAAAAAACAAAACTAGAATGAATAGATGAAATTCATCAATCACATTAAGAAGCCATGTCTTTAGATTCAAGTATTTCATCATTTTTAACTTCTGTAAATTTTTTGGAAACCGAAACAATTCCTTTTTATTTCATACCTAATTATTTTAATATTTTGTCAGTTGCATATACTAGAGGAGTGAAATTATGTTGATTTACAATATTTAAGCTTCCACCATTATTTAATAACAAGTATATTACCTAAAAGATATAAATCAAATTATATTACATCTATTTTATTTGATTTGACAGCCATATGCATAGGAGTTCCATCACTGCATAATACATTAGGATTAGCTCCATGTTTTAACATAAAATCTATTAAAATATTATTTCCATGCATAGATGCATAATATAAAGCTGTATTTCCATCTTAATCCATAACATCTATATCATCTTATGTATAATAGAATCCTGATTTTATAATATGATTTGGTTAATTCAATTTTGCATATCTAAGAAGTCTTTCATGTTTAACAAGAAGTACTTTGACTTTAGATAAATTTTAAGTTGTTACTAATCTACCTTATCTACCAAATCCAATTGAAGATGGTTCAGCAGTCTCTTCAGTTTTTAATTTAGTTCTCATAGACTTAGTTAAAGATATTTCTGATTATGCTCTATTAATTGAAGTTTTTATTCTGATTTAAGGTTTATTAATTAATTATATTGTTATTTCTTTAACATTTGATTGGAATTCCTTTTCTGAATTAAGTCTTGATAACTTTTCTTAATAAATTCGAAGTTTTTTTTGAAAAAATAATTCTTTGTAATTTTTTAATTTTTTATAAGCAATTCTTTTTCGAATAGCTCTTTAAATCATTATAATTGAATTTAATTCTTTATCTGTCAATTTAGGAGGTTCATTTGGATTTTATAGATCAAAAATTGGATCTTATCTTAATGCCTTATTGGGTCCTGATGAATAAAATTTTTAAAAGTTTTCTTTTATATTGTTATTTATTGATAATACTCCTAATCTATATTCATTTTCTTTTTATTTTTATATCTTAATTCTTTCAGCTAATTTTTAACCTTCTAAACTATCCCAATCATCAGCGGTCATCCCATGAGTAGGAACAAATCCTACTTTAGAAGAGGGATGATATTTCCTGCGTTTATCTTCTTCATGATTATATGGTAATGATAGTGTTTTTAATCTTTCTTTATGCAGTCTTAATTTTTCTTATTCTGCTAATGTTTCCTTTACAAATATATTGCTTTTTTCCATTTTAATAAATCGTAGATATTCAACTTTCTATATGATTTTTCTGACAAATATTAAAGCAAAGAAGTTTCTATAGACTTAATCTTTTATAGATATATTCTATTCTAATTTTTTGCATATTCTTTAAAGTTTTTTGACTTTTTTATCATGTTCCTTTAGTATTTTGTTATGTTTCATTGATTCTTAGAGTTATTTATCATGTTATTTAATTTATGCTTTTTTTTTAGTTATTTATTCTTTTAACCAATATGATCTAGCTTATTAAATTTAACAATTAAGTGACTAATGATTTTATATAATTTATTAAGCTAAGTAATTTTCTAAATCATAGATTTATTTTTCTTTGATATGCATTACTACTTTTTTGACTTACTTTTAATCTACACATTTATTCAATAATTCTGATGTATTTGCAAGAAATTTCATTTCCTATGGTGTTAACCAATCTCCATTCATATATTTTTACATTTTAAGTTCTCTTTATAAATATACAGGATCATCAATTTTTACTTAATCAAAAATCTACATAAAAGCTACTTGATTGAAATTGCTTGAATTAATTGCTGAATTATATGTATATTAAGCTTTTAATCTTTCTTTTTAAAATTTAGCTTCTAATATTGGATTCCATTATAATAAATCTTAATTGTTTTGTTAATAGAAATTATTATTTTTAAGAATTTATGAAGTTTAAATAGTTTCTATACCTTTTAAGTTAACTTTTTTATTTTAACTAATGGCTTCAGCAATTTTTATTTGATTTTCATATTCATTTATTTTTTCCATAAGCATTTCTCTTAGCTTTTTTTGAAGAACCTAATATTTACTTTTTAATGTTAACCATTTAAATAAATCATTTTATTATTTACGATTTTTCATTCTTGTAAGTGTAAATTACTTATCTATCAATTGTAATTATTTATCCTTCTTTGCAATTTTGAGAATCCATTCATTCATCAATGAATCACATTTCTATTAAAAACTATTAATTAAATAAGTTTATCGTTCTTCAGCTGTCTTCATATTACATAAAGTAACAGCTGACACATTAAATGATTATAAAATCTTTTATGCAGTTCCAAAATGATCATACATAGGTATTTGATTCTAAAATTTGTGTTTTAAAGTATCAATAATTAAACTAGACATAAGTGAATTTTATAAAAACTAAATTACATTATTAAGTATACATCTCCATATCTATTGACTAAAAAGTTTACATCATTTGTTAAAGTTTATGTAGATGCTGATTATTTTACTTCTTATTTATGAAAATATCGATCAACAAAAAATTTGTAAAATTCTTCATTTTTTTAACTAATTTTCTTTTCTGGTTTTTAATCTAATTCAATAATCTCATCTTCTCTAGATTGATTTTCTCCATCATATGAAGATTATTCAATCATTTGACTCTCCTTAATAGTTTTCTTTTTGAATTGATTAAATGCCAATCTTCTTTATTTACCTTTCTCAACTATTACTAATTTTATTGTTTCATTTTAAGCTTCATTCAAAAATTCACTGAATTTCTATTCTATTTATTCTTCAGTTTCTAAATCAAATGATTATAAAGGTCTTTATGTTATAGGAAATCTTGATTATTGTTATACTCTTTATTTTTTCATAATTTAATAATAAACATCAATTGTGTCTCTTTACAATGTCTTTCACTTTAGAATCTGATTTTTTGAAATAAGTACATTAAATTCTTTAAGATAATGTTCTTATTTTTAGATTATCTGGAGATTTATATCTACTAGTTAAAGCAGCTAATTTATTCACAGGTTTCTTATCAATTCCTTCTGATGAATTTAATAGACTTGAAGCTCCAATTTAACTTATTCTAGAGACTCTTGGATAATAAAACTTTTTTGTATCAAATTATATTTGTTATTGCTAGTTTTGTATATTGGGTTCAGTTTTCAATCTTTATACAATCAAAGGAGTTTATATTTCTTTTGGTTCTAAAATCTTCAATGCTTATAACTTCGAAGTAAAATCAGAGAGAGTTTAAGGAGATGATTAAAACACTTATTATTATTTTTTGATTGGTTGAGAATTTACTAACTTTGATAATACGCTTTTCACATGTACCATTTAAAGGATATGAGTAATTGGCTTAAATTTTGTTCTTGCTTTACTTAAATTAATAGGAGTATGTCTTAAGATATGAATTATATTTACATAGATGGATTTCCACTTGAGCGAAGAAGTGTTTCCATATTATTTGGAGTTTTATCTAATTCCAAATGCTTAACTTTGATAATCTTTTCAAGTGGAAAATGATCATTATCTTATTTTGATAGTAATTTCTTATGAATCTTACCTCCACAATCTGTGCAATGACAACTTTAATTGAGAACTTTATCTTCAGAGACAATTTATTTCTTTTCACTAAAGGATAAACTTGGTTTCATTTTAGTATAAGTTCTTGAGAAAGAATATACTTTATATTAGCTTCCATGTTTGTAAGTTCTTTTGCGAAGTGGCTAATTAGGTCTGGAATGATAATACGATGTTTATGATTATATATCAAATATATTCATAATTATTGTAAAATGTTTTTAAGAGCATCAAGATCAGATAATTAATATTTCAATTCATCAGATGTAAATTTACATTTGACCTTTTTTATTTTTACTTTAAAATTCATTTATTCTTAGATTACTTCTCGTATATCAAAAACATTGTAATTCTTTAATTGAATTATTTCTTCCTCTAAATCTATATTTAATTGAAAATTCATTTTATATTTAATTTCATTAACTTTCCTTATTAAATCTTGCATATCAATTTCTAAATCAATTGGATTTTATTTTAACAAAATCATCAATCCTATTAAAATTAATTATTAATTTAAAGCTAAAGATTCAACACATCCTTTCATATCAGAATCAAATCTATTTAAATTTATATCTTGATTTTCACTCAAACCTTGTTCAGCATTTCTAATTATTCTATTCAAAATTTCTTAAATTTATCTCATATCTCCCCCTTTTTAATTGTAGGTTTTAGATATTATTAATTTAACAGCATTCTAATCATATTACCTTTAAAATATAATTATAACAATTACATTTATTCAGTTGTTTTAAGAATATCTTTTACCAATTCTTATACTTAATTCAAAGTATAAGGCTCAAATATAATATTTTAATAGGGAGGTACTTTTATTTATTATTTATTTGATTGCATATCTAAAAATCCAATATTATTACAAATTCCTATAAGATGAGTATATTTAGATAATTAAAATATTTATGAAGTTTCAACTTAATTTCCATTAAATAAATTTTCAAATTCATCAAAAATTATAATCCTAAATTATCATAAAATTTGATATTACTGTTTGATAGATGTTTATTTTTGTAATTTATTTATAAAATCTTCATGAGTATTGATATATCGTAATTATAATTGTTTTGATAAATATTAAATAACGTCTTTATAATTTTAAAATCCCATAGCATTTGTATATATAATTTTATATTTCTTTATTCTCCATTATTTAGAACATTAATGAATCAAAGTAGTTTTACCTGTTCCTGGTTATCCTGTCAAAAGTAATAATTTATATTCATCATTAGAATTTATGAATTTTTAAATTAAATGTTGCTCTTATTCTCTGAATTTTATNGATTTTGCTTTATCAATTTAGTTATATTTCTGCAATTGATTTTCTTAATTCTTAACTTAAACCTGAATTGAATATTATGAGTATTTAATTGACTGTTTCTACTTATCCAACTCTAACAGATTATAAATAATGAATTACCTACTATCAAAAATGGCTCTAAGATTCTTCTCTTCATCTTAACAAGTTTTAATCCAATCATTAAGTTCTTTAGTTTTAATTGATGCAATTGATTTGTTAGTATTAACATCATTTGTTACTTCAACAATATCTTATTATAAATGTAAGACTTAAGCTTTCAATTATGCTACTGATGCAGCCAAAGTTTAATTAGCTAAGAGTAAAATTTCTCTATCTATAAGATTAATAAAAAGTACCTTTATCTAATGAATTCAACTTCTCTTGCATCATCAACCAATAATTCTTACTTTTAAAGTTCATAAATAGAATCAATTAATCCTTATATTGTAGCAACTATTCTTTCAACTTATTCTGGAGTTTTAGCTTATGTTGATGCTTTTAATAATAATTCAACCATGATTCCATAACCTCTAGGTGTTGGATTTGCTTCCTCTAAAAATAATATTTAATTATATTTACTGAATTTAGAATAGTGTTCATTTGAACTAACTTGCAAAAAGCTAACAGAACCTAATCCAGAAACAATTGATTTTGCTTCTCCTAATGCTGCAACATAATTTGTTAATTCATTTCTTCTATCTTAATATTCTTATACCAATTCTTATACTTAATTCAAAGTATAAGGCTCAAATATAATATTTTAATAGGGAGGTACTTTTATTTATTATTTATTTGATTGCATATCTAAAAATCCAATATTATTACAAATTCCTATAAGATGAGTATATTTAGATAATTAAAATATTTATGAAGTTTCAACTTAATTTCCATTAAATAAATTTTCAAATTCATCAAAAATTATAATCCTAAATTATCATAAAATTTGATATTACTGTTTGATAGATGTTTATTTTTGTAATTTATTTATAAAATCTTCATGAGTATTGATATATCGTAATTATAATTGTTTTGATAAATATTAAATAACGTCTTTATAATTTTAAAATCCCATAGCATTTGTATATATAATTTTATATTTCTTTATTCTCCATTATTTAGAACATTAATGAATCAAAGTAGTTTTACCTGTTCCTGGTTATCCTGTCAAAAGTAATAATTTATATTCATCATTAGAATTTATGAATTTTTAAATTAAATGTTGCTCTTATTCTCTGAATTTTATTTGTTGAGGTTTTTAAATAGTATTGTTTACTTAATTATCAATTGATTAATATTATTTTGGCTATTTTTTTTAATTCTTTTTCTTTTAGCTCTTTTTAGGTTGTTTATTTGGCATATAATTATATTAAAATGGGCGCTAAATTCATAAATTTGATGATATAAACATAATTAATAATTAAATATCCCTTTTTTTATTTGTTTCAATATCTTTAAAGCTAAATATTTAGAATTCTATGTAATTGAGTTTATTAATATTACTTAAATTTTATAATTATTTATTACTCAAGTAAAACTATTTTTAATAAAAGCAGACATTATTTATTATCTATTAGTTTAATTATAATAGGCTAATACAATTAAAGTAATCCATTATAAATTTAAATTTATTTAATTTTTTGGCATATCCATTCAATTAGTAACATCATATAATCTAAGAAAGTAGTAAATAATTTTAAATTGATACAGTTAAATTTAAGTTTATAAAATTGAATTTTATTAATAAAGAGATTTGAATTAGTTTATACTTTATTAGAGTACTTATTTATAAATTATCATATAATTATTAATGTGATATAGACTATAAAGTCATTTAAGACACTCTTTGGATATAAGATTGGTGTATGCTTAAGTACCTGGTTATCCTTCATCCATGATTTTAACATATAGATTTTCTTTACTGAGTTCGAATTAGGATTCTAATTTATCTCTTAACAATTCTTCAACTTATTTAGATTGATTAAGAATGGATTTGGCATTATTTTTCATAAGTGTTTTACCAAATTAGGACAATCTATATAATTTACTCTTGATATAAGCATATTGTAATTCAAAATGATCTTCTAACATTTTATAATTTCTCTTGATTCTATCAGGAGTTACACTTAAAATTTATGGATTATAATTGACTTCTAAGACCCAAACATCTAGATTATCATCAAGTAGAAAATCAACAGCAAAAAATTCACCAAACCTAGTTTAATAAATACTTAATACGTGCTATCTCTAGCAAATGAATGATAAGTAGCTTTGGTCATATGAATTAAAGATCTATGAATCTTGGGATATAGATATGATTGTAGCCATCCTTTTTTAGCTCTTCCTTATTTGATTAATAAATCTTCCAAACCTTCTAAATACCAATCAATAAAGAATTCTTCATCTTCAATTTCTTCATCATCTTTGTCAGTTTTCACTAAATTTTTCACAATTGCTGTATTACAAACATGAGCTCCTTTTTCTGTAGAATGGACACTAAATGGTTTTGCACATCTTTTAATCAAAGCTCTTATGTTAGAATAGTAATTACCTTGAATATGAATATGCAATGACTGGTTTAGTTGATATGATTGTATAATAGATTCTAAATTCAATTTTATGTCCTTTATATAAGAATGGATTAGATATATATCTTTAAGCGATTACTTATTTTGAAATATTTCCACATTCTTATCCATAATTATATTCTTCTAATATATCCTTAGTTTCATTTTCAAATAAAACAGTAATTCCTTCTCCTCTATGTTGATTAGTTTTTAATATATATTATGGTCCATATTTTTTGAATTTCTTTTAATAATCATCTGTTTTAAATGTTTCAAAGAATGCTTTGCAATCATCCTCATCATTTAATCGATATGTCTCAGGAATGAATGAAGCATTCCTTTTACATTCTGGATTAGTAATATTTTTCTTTTCAAAATCTCTAATATATTTCATAAAATTGTCAATCAATTAGTTTTTCATTGCTACAGAACTTTTACCTGGAATATGACTATATTTTTATAATACACAACCTAATCCCTTACCCCAAACATAGTTGTTATACAAAGATGACACAGTTGTATAAATAAATCCAAGTTAAAGTGGTAATTAATACTCATATTTATAAGAAGCAGTCTTTGATGGACTTACTTTATCCAATACTGCAAATGTTTTATCTAAAGTTATCTTTTTTGGTAAATTTGTTGGTGGATAGTCTCTCCATACATAATAATCTTGTAATACTATATCTGGATGAACCATTTTATATGAATCACTCTTTTTACAATACACAGGAGATTCAGCAACATTATAACGAGATTACTAATTATTTATAAATCATCATTTACATTATATTCAGGCTTAAATGCTGAATTTTTGACAAATGTCTATTTTCTTATTTAATATACTTCCCCAAAGATATTCTCCCAAAAGTTTCTGATTTATTATTCCTAATTTTATAACGCTTTTGAATTTGAATACAATAACAATATAATCAATGGTGCTAATATTCCTTTTATTATTAAAGCAATCACCATTAAATTAATTAATTTCTTATTTGTTTTAGAATTATTCTTAAAACGAATACAAATTCATATATTTCTTTTATTCATCTTTCTTCTATATTCATATGTATTATTATAATTTTTGATCTAAAAATTAAATTTCAATCAAAGATATTTCAATAATTAATAAAATTAATGGACTCAAACTATTTTGAAGATGAGTAATTCAATAACAATACATGGGATGAATACTCTGACAATATGGTTTGCCCATCACCTCTCTTGCTTGGGCATCCTTAAATTAAAAAATTTAAAGATGAAGACGAACTCTCACTCATCCATCTTTAATATCATACTGATACTTTAGATGATGAATACAGTCAACTAAACTAACCTTCTTAAACTAAATAACCTCTTATCAAAAAGAAACTTCACAAAAATAATAAGAAAACTTCCTTTAAAAAAAATTAGAATACCCCTTCAGTGAAAAAAGTACTTAATAATTTCTCATCTTATCCTAACCTTTCAGAAGATAACACTACTCAATAAATTCATTATTGTTAATAAATGTAGATACTTATTGACAACCTTGAAGGAATCCTGTCCACAATCAAATCATAAATTCTAAACCAATACAAAAAGTAGATAAATTAGAAAAATTGATCTTTTTCATTTTTTTAATCAATTTATTAATCTTTCTATTGATATATAAATATATATAAAGTACTTCCTCATATAATATATCAGTAATAATATGAAAACTTAATATATATTATATATAATTATTGTATATATAAGTTTATTTAAAATTACAAATTTTATGTATTCATCTACAAATAATACAAGTAAATGCAATAAAGAGGTGATTTATAAATTTTCTGGAAATTTTACTAAAGAATATTAATATTTAAATTTTTTACTTTGAAAATAAATGGAATATATATATATAATTAATTAATTTATAATTAAAAATTCTTATTTTAATTATGTTCAATTTATCAAATGGAAATTTGAAAACAAAAACTCAACACTTCTATTAATAAAAACTAATTTTTAATAAATCAAAATTTATGAATATCTGTCATAAAATTCAATTATTCTTTTTGTTAAGATCAAATAAATTGTGTTTCTAAATATATAATGACGTCATTATATTACTTAATTACACGTTTATAAACATTAAATCGGAAAGAGACTTAAAAATTAATGGAATTTTGAAAAACTTATCTACTTAATTTTATGAAAATCACTATCATATTATTTTAACAGATAATGTTCAATTACAAAAAATAATTTCTTTTCAATTAAATTGCTAATCAAACCTTTATTTTTAAAAATATAATGATGATATCATAATTTAAAACTTTAAAAGTTATTTCAAGAGCTTTAATTAAATATCTTTAGAAATAATAATTTATATAGTTTAATAAACCATCTTTCATGGAAATAAGTTCTTTTCTTTATGACAATTTACCTCAACCTTAAGAAAATCTTGAGTAAATTTCAGATGATTGTCATCTATACATATCTAAATCGAATTACAATAAATCAATATTTAGAATTTAAAGTCCAGACCCATCAATTCAAGAAGACTGTTTCTATAATGGAAACGATTAATCATTCGAAATTAAATAAGGAGAATTTCAATTTCTTATTGATGAAAAGAATGCAACTAATAAAGAATAATATAAAGGTCCTACCAAAAAAGCACAAAAGACTTAGAAACTATTCAATAAGAGAAAATTGAAAAATGGACCACTATCAGAAACAGAATTTATAGACATTATGAAAAAACTAGATCAATGTCAGTAGGTGATGAATATGATAGATAATATGACCATTATTTTAGATAAATTTAAATGCTAGTTGTAGCAATAGAAAATCAAAAGGATTGAATGATGAATTCTATTTTATATATTCAACATTATGAATAATTTTGCTGTCTTTTAAGACAGTTTATTCACATATATAAATAATCTCATTGTATAATTAATTATAATGATATATCAAATAAACATGAAAATAATTGTTAAGAAACCATAAAGAATTATGGAAACTATAAATAAATTGATTGGGGAAGCAAACCTCCTTGGCCATTGTGTTTATGGAAATTCATTTTAGGGTAATCCCTTTAACTTATCTAATCCTATACTCAAATACCACATAATAATAAAAAAAACATAAATTTCGAAATCTCTTAAGGGAGCCTTCCATTCATTAATCACACTAATAAATTATGTTATAATCTTACATTTTTGATCTTGATAATCTGCCAAGACTTTTTTATGGACTCATATTTTTCATTGGAATTACGTTAATTTTTGCTGTTTAAACATGAAATTCTTAACCCAAATATTCCACTATTCTATCATTTTTTATGCTTTTTCTTTATTAATAAGACACTAATAACTAAATTATCTAAAGAACATAGCTTTGAATATTTTCATTTTATTTTATTAAGAATTCTTCTTCATTATTGTTTTTAACATAAATATCACAAAAATTCTTAACTTCTGAATAGGATGGTATTTGATAAGGTTTTTAGTTAAGAAATTTTAATGAATCACAAAAGAATGAATTTTAATCATTAGAATATAAAAACGTTAATAAATGAATTAATCCATAATATTCTGTATCATTAACATAATTTAAATTATTTAAACATTAAAAAATAGTAATTAGCAATTTTGTGTAAAATGGATAATAGAGTCTTATTGAATTTTTCATATAATTTCTTTAAGGATCTAATTCTCTAATCTGATTGTCGATTTGATATTCAAACTAACTAAATCTTTATTCAATCATATGTGGTTTGAAGTTTTTAAACAAAATTGCTTAAGGACATTCTCCAAATTTATTTTAAAAGATTTAATAAATAGGATGTAATTCATTCATTATAAATTTAGTTAAAAGATTGTTAGTTTTATAAGTAATATCCCTCTTTTTTTAAATTTGGCTCATAATTTAATTAGATGACATAACACAAGATGAACAAGCTTAATCAAAAATTAAAACTTAATTATAAATGTTTGATTCATATTTAACAAATTGCCATCTTAAAAATAAAACATATGCTGCTAAATGTGAATATATTGTAATTTGATTGCATTACCTTTCATTAGGATAAACCTCAAAAGATTATTAAAAAAACTTATATAAACCTTGTTAATATGTTATTGTTTACTTTTATCTTCCACATTCAAAAAAAAAACTTCTATTTTAATAGATGAATTAATTATTTTTATTGAAAATATCAGAATTTTTCAAAAATGGCTTAAATTATTAATACATTGTTTCTAAGTCAGTTCCGTATAAAGAATTAAAAAATATTGTTAAATAAATTAACATCATTTGAGTATCCAAAATTATACTGCTTGGTTTAATTTTATACAATAATTTCTATTATTCTAAAGTTAAATTTAATTCAAATAGTTTATTAACATATAAATGTTCATATAATGAATATTCTTATAATAGTATAATCATTTATTAAAAAGTGAAGATTGTTAATTGTTTTTTTGTATTACTTAACATTTAATTATTTTCTTTTATTTTTGTATACATATATTCTAAAATTCTTCTAATTAAGACTAGATATGGATTAAAAGTAAGTTATTTTAATAAAGGATCTTTTGTATTCATTTTCTTTTTGCATTTATTGAAAGCACAATCTAATAATTTTTGACTATTATCTGTTGCATATAAGGCACTATCCTTAAAATTAATTGCACCATTTAATAAATAAATCCAAAACATCATTTTTGAACTTACACAAAATTTTAGTTAATTTTTTTCAATTAAAATATTCTCTTAAAATATTTCTTAAAATGCTTAAAATTATTAATTCATTTGAGCAATTGATGGGTCTTTAAAATATAATTATATGTGTGCAGGTAATACATCTAATGAAACAGAATGATAAGGATATTCAGAAGGTAAAGCTTAATAAAATGACATTTCTTCTGGGGAAAGTATATGCAATAATTTTATAATGAAAAGTGTATCTTCAATTGATGAAAATCTTTATTGAGTTGTACGAAAACTATTATTCAAAATACCATTTTATTTGAATATAAGTTCATATAAATTTTGTTATGATCTAAAAAATTCTTAACCATATGAGTATTCTTTTTATTTTATAAGTTCGTAACTGACATTCTATAACCAAGATAGAAATTCGTTGCTAGTTGCCTTTTATGCATATTTTAGTTCATCTTCAAATTTGTTCATAATTATTTATGTAATAAAATTAATTCCTAAAAACTTAATAAAACTTATACCTTTTAGTTTCTGAACATATTTCTCCTTAAATACTTAAATTTATTGAATAAACTAAATCTATAATATTGTAAATTAAAACAAAAATAAGAATTAGACAAGAATTTATAATAAGTTAATTGGAATTAAAAGATTGATTTAGAATTGAATTTGAAATATCCATAATCAACTTATAAATAAAATTCCTTTTTGAGAGTTAAGTGCAATATTCAATATTTAAATAAACTCATTAATCACAAATGCTATTTAAAATTTATTGATTTTACATAGGATCATATTAACATAAAAAATAGTAAAAGATTATCTATGTAAAGATAACAAGAATTCTAAATGAAATACAATGAATTGATTAAGATTAAAATATGAAATTTTAATATCAATTAAAAAGAAATAACTGTAAAATTGCATTCTAATAATAATATATACCATAATAATTTGTAAAATTTATAAAGTAAAATATTGATTAATAGTTTTAAAAGCATAATATAAAGACGGATAGTTCCTCAAAAATAAATTGAAAGTACTTTTTATATAATATAAATTATCTATTATTTTCTCTTTCTAAAATTTAAATAAATTGTATAACTTATTAAATACTAATTGAATAATGGTTATTTGAAATCTTATTTATAGTTAAATTTAATATCATATTGAATTGATTAATATTATACTATTATATTTGACATAATCTGATATATTCTTTCTGTTTTCAATACATAAAACTAAATAGATAATATTTAAGATAATCTTTTAATATACTTGCATTAATAAATCAATTAGAAAGAAAGATATAATCAATTAATATTTAAAAAAGATTGTTTTCAAAGTTTCTTATTTATAATTAATGGATATTTACATAAGAATGACAAATTTATTTTTGTTTATTGTTAATTTATTAAAAATATAAGGATACGATTATTATTTAATGCTTTTTGATTGTTAAATCCTTAAATCAGTGAATAAATTTAATTATTAAATATATTTATTATGGGAATGTATTGTACAAAATGCTAAATTAAAAATGAAGAAGAATTATTTTTAGGCAATTTTATATAATAAAAGAAATCTTAATTATCAGAAGAAAATTTAGATGAAAGTTAGGAAATCGCTTCAAGTATTTATTAGTAGAAATAATTTATTTAAAGTCTGCCCTCCTTAAACAAAGAGTAAGAAGAGTATAGTTGAATTGAGATTATTAGAATAGGAATAACGGAAGGAGAAAGCAAACTCATCAGATTTATATGAGACAGAAGAATTGTATTTTGAAGATTAATCAAAGTTTATTGGTAAAATAGAAAAGAATTAAGCAAATGGGGAAGGAAAATTATGGTTATATAATGGAGATTATTATGAAGGAAATTTCTGTAATAATTTAATGCATGGGAAAGGCATTTATAAATATAAAAATGGAACTACTTATGAAGGAGATTTCTTAAATAATAAACCTGATGGATTCGGAATAGAATTATAAATTAATGGATCAATTTATAAGGGAACATTTAAGGATGGAAAAAAGGATGGGTTTGGATACTACAAATGGTAATAAGGTTGTTAATATGAAGGCGAATGGAAAAATAATAATATAAATGGAAAAGGGAAATATGATTGGCCTGATGGGAGGGTATGTAGATAAATAATAATTTCAGTCTTATGTAGGAGATTGGGTAGAAAATTAAATGCATGGGAAAGGAAAGTATAATTGGTAAGATGGGAAATACTACGATGGGGAATATTAATTCGATAAAAAGCAAGGGTTTGGTATATTCTACTGGCCAGATGGGAAATAATATAAAGGATATTGGATGGATGGAAAATAACATGGAAATGGTATGATGATTTATGCTGATGGTAAAAAGAAGATTGGTGAATGGAAAAATGGTTAATTTATACATTGTATTGAAAATGATAATATTGAAATAATACCTTAGAATTAGATTGTATGATGACAGTAGGATTTTATATTTATAATTATTTCACTTTATGGTTTTATTGACTTAACTCTTAATTGTATCATAATTCTAAACAATTATACTTAATTTTTAATTCATTTATTTATAACCAAATTCAGCTTAGACAGTTTTTATTAGTTTTTATAATGAACTATTAGGTAATTGTTTTCCTTAATAAAGTATTTAAAGTCTTTAGATTTCTTATTCCTCTAATTCAATAATTTGATTATCTAAATTATTTATTTAGAGTGATTAATTAGATAATTTTTAACTTAGATTATCTTATTTAGAGTCACTTTATTATTGTAATTCGAATGATTTTAAAGTGTATTTTTATTTTTTCATGTTTTATATAGTGTTCATAACTTAAAATAGTTTCTTTTCATAATTAACTCTATTACCCTATTATTATTATTATTTGATTTAGTTTTCTTTCATTTACAATTTTAAATAATCATTATTAATTTCTAATTTAGCTTTTGAGATAAGGAAGGTTCTTGATTGATTATCTAGATAACATGGAAAATCAGCTAATGTAACACTTTCATTAATTTACATTAATAATTTAACAATAATTATTATAGATCCTGATATTCTATGTATTATAAGTATATAAGTTACTAAATTTCTTCACTCTGCAATACTTATTTTAAGAACTCTGCTAAATCTTATTTAATTTATTTCTTAGTAAATTTAATATCTTATAACATTTCTTCTTCTTTTTTTAATTATGTTTGATTAAATTATAGTTATTGTTAATATTCCATATAAAATGTTTTGATTCTAGCTAATTCCATTTATTCATTTTAATCAATAACCTAAAAATATTATTATCTATCCCATTTTTTATTTGGATGAAGTTTATCTTCTTAATGAAGTGCTAATTATCTTTATTTTGTATATTTTGATTTAATTGAATCAATTTCATCACCTAATTTAATGACATGATCTCTTAATTTACAATTTTCCATTCTTAATTTTTATAAACTTATTTGATATTAATAGATTTCTTAACTTAGTAATTTAATTTAATTTAATCTACCTTCAATAATATAATTAAAATTAAATTATTATCTTTCTAAATTTTTATGTTCTTCTTTATTTATAGTAATTTATGCTTATGATTATCTAATTTAATTGGCAACAGCATGATAATCTACAATTTAATTAATACTCTTAAACATTGAAGATAGATTCTTAAAACTTTATAATACATTAGTAGTTGAATTATTTAATTCATGTTATGAGACAATTCTCTTTTATCTCATTTTATTAAATAAGATTTAATTTACTAATTTTTGATTAGTTTATTTTGATATTTTTTCAGCAGTTCCATGAATTTTATCTTCTTATAATATTTCTTTTTTATCTGAATGATAAATTTAGAATATATTATGTATTAATTTTGTATTGATAGTTGGACTTGGAAAATGTGGATTATGATCTACTTCATCTTCAGCCAATTTACCTTATTGAAGCATTTATTACAAATTAAATTTCTTTTAATGTTTTTTTGCTTTAAAGTAATTAAGATTAATAACTTCCATTTTTTCTTCTTCTGATTAATTATCTTCATCATCTGAATTTTACTTGAAAATCATAGATTACTTTTTTAATGGAGATCTTATTCTCTTTTAACTTACTTATTTACTCCCTATATATAGAGAAGTAGATTTCATATTCATTTGTTTTTTATAATTAATTTTATAATCAAATAAAAATGAATTTATTAGATGATTTAGAAAATAATGGAACTCAATAAATGGATTTACTTAATTTTGAGTATGATTCCTATAATCAATTAATAGTCATTAAACTAATATGATACCAAATGTAGATTTTTATAATGCAATTGTTATTAATGAATTTATGAATAATCGTATTGTAGAAGTCAAAGATGGTGATGTAGTAAAGGAAGGATATATAACTAAATATAAATTATATCTAGTAAGAACAAAAAAGTAAGGAGGAGATTGGGAAACTGAAGTATCAAGAAGATTTAGTGATTTTGAATGGTTATACTAAGAAATGATTAATAAATATGGAGGATACATAATTCCTGCTATTCCTGAAAAGCATTTACTTACTAAAGTTAACTTAGCTAGTTATGAAGTATCATTTTGTGATTTAAAATTTAAACAAATAGTTTTCTGAAAAGAGAAGGAAAGACCTTTAATAATTTCTATAAAGAATACTTAATCATCATCATTTAAGATATGTTCCAGAATTAAGAATTTTTATTGAAGATAAAGAAAAAGTACTATTAAAAAAATGATTTATTAGTTTATTTCTCTTTTGAAAGGTGAATTAGAATAAAATAAAACTATTGAATAAAAATATGATAATCTTTTACAATCAGTTAAAAGTTTATGGCATAGTAGTACAATAACAACGAAAGGATAAGATCCAACAAAAATGTTTGATGGAGGTGAAAAAGATCTAACATATGATGAAACACTTCTTTTATCTTTGTCTATGAAAGGTAGCAAATTAAAAACTGTTGTTGAGGAACATATAATTACATTAAGAGAGGAAGCTAAAATATTAAATGATTAAAATGAATCTCTCTATTCTTGGAGTAATATAGAAATAATATAATTATTAGATGGTTTAGGATCTGCAAGTGAAGAAGATATTTCATAATTTAAATAATTGAAGTATAACAATGAAATCAGACAAAGAAAAATTAATAGAGAAATTGAAGATATTGATAGAAAATTTCTGCATAAATTATAATATAGTTTATTTGAAATAGAATGGGCATTGACTGCTTGTAAAAGAAGGAGAAATTTATAATAACAATTATTGATTGATCAATAAAGAATAGATCAACTTAAAATGTAATATACAGATAATTCAAGCAGAGTATTTATTAAAATAATTCATAGAGAGATTTAGAAATGGATGTATTAAAAACTAAATATTAAAAAAATAAAGACAGAAGTGATAAAATGTCTATTATTATGTAAGATGAATTATTGAGTTTCATTTCAGAGATGAAATAATAATTAAAATCAATTCTTGAAGAATGGAGATCTATTATGAAGACATTATCAAAGAATATTATTGAAGATGACAATGAATGATATAATTTAATATAATACTTTATAAGTATTAATTTATTATAAAATTTCATTATTTTTAACAAACAACTGAAGTTTTAATTTATTTAGAATGGTTTATAAATTTAAGAAAAAACAAGATTATTTTTATATCTTCTTATAAGATTTCTATCCCCTATGTTGATATTTAAAGTCTAAGGAATAATTAATTTAATTTTGATAATAATTATTAAATGGGAAGTCATTGTTCTTAAACAGTATAAAATAATACTGTTAATTATGAAAAAAAGCATGAGATTGATAATATCATTTAGGATAAAGAAATTTAAGAACCTAAATTTACTACAAAATTGAATTTAAATGTGGAAATTGACAAAGGTGTATATTCAATGAGACCATGTAATGTTAATGATTCAGTATTGGATATAACAACTGAAAGAAATTTACAAGAATCAATACAATAAAAGTTCAATTTAAGAAATTATACAGTTAGTTTCTATCAAAGAAGTATTTTGACGATACAATGACCATTAACAAATCTCACAATTTAGTTTATTCCAATATGGGTTTGAACATACTTTCAGATTTATGTCAAAATGAAGTAGTTTCATAGAAATAAGAAAAATAAAAAAAAGTTGAAGAATATGATGAAGATTATGATTAGATGTGCAAATATGATGTTGATCAATTTAAATTTTAGCAACCTGCTGTTATGAAATATGTAGATAAATAACTACCATCATAATAAAAGACAAAGTAAAAATAAAATTAAATAATAGCATTGTTGAATAAAGAAATCTTAAAAAATGATATAAAAAATATCAATATATATAAGTTATAATAATTTGATATATAAAAATCTTAAAATCTTAAGGAATCATACTTTTTTAATCTATATATATTTATTTATTTTACTTTATCTATAAAAATTCTATAAAGGTTTAAATAATTTAACTCTTTATTTTCTATTTAATAATGTATTAATTTTAAATTATCATATATATATACATATACTTATATAGGAATATTAATACAAAATTTTGTAAGTTGTATCTTATGATAATGATGAAGTATAAAAATAAGGAATAAATTAAAATATTATAAACTGAATTATTCATTATCTATGACAAAAGAATTTATGACGTAAAGCTTCATGACAACTGATTCTTTTATCGGGATCAATTTCAAGCATTTTTTATAATAAATCTCTTAATAATGGATCAAGTATTAATTCTTTTAATGGTTTTTGATTTTCTACTTTAGCAATACTCTCTTTGGTTGTATGTTCCTAAGGCCAAATGTAGTATTTCCCATTTGTAGAATTTCTTGTGAAATATTATTTCAAAGATCCTTTGACATTACTGGCCATCCAATAAGGGAAATTTTGATCAGTTATTTTTTCAACTAATGCCATATGTTCTTATTCATTCTTTCTTGTTTAAAATAGTAATTGTCCTAAAATATTCAAAATTATTGATTCCTACCTATATACATTTCAGCAATGATACAACCAATCCCCCAAACATCACTTTTATGATTCCATTCACTACATTACAACTATACCTCAGGAGCTCTATATTGACGTGTATTAATAATACAATCATGTCCTTCATTATCAAAAACTGCTCCACCAAGGTCAATGATCTTGATTCTGTCATCTTATGGTAAATATCTAAATAAAGAATTAATCAATATTTATACAAATCATTTTATCCTTTTTTGAATTTGTAATTTTTACTAAAAAGGATATTCTCTGGCTTTAAATCAGTGTGAACAATTTTTAAATCATGTAATTAACCAATATACTTTAATAATTATTTACTAATGCTTTTTATTAAAGTCATAGGAATTCCATGATTTTTATAGAATTTCATCAATTCATAGAGACTTGGTCCTAGCTAAGATTAGATGATGGTAAATGATTACTCTCTCAAATACCATGCAATAATATCCTCTATGATGGAAACATTCATATAATTCAACAAAGCTACGACTAAGTCCTTTTCTCTTTAAATGAAACAAAACATCTGCTTCTGATTATGCACTTTCAACATGATTACGTCTCACTATCTTCATTGCATATGTTTTTGAATTTCTCCTCTTTACTTTCAAGACCCTTCCAAAAGTACCATCAAAAATATGTCTTTTTACTTTATATTCTTTAATATATTCTCCTTTCCTGTATTTATAGTGTTAATCATCATCACTTGAAGAACTTCCATTAGATTCATCATCTGTCCCTACAGAAGAAGTAGTAGTAGAACTATAAATATATTAATTATATAAAAATCTTACTATTTTTATTTTCGGTTAGATCTTCTATTTGAACGTCTACGTGATTCTTTTGAGGACATGTTAAATATTTTATTTATTTATATTTTTTAATAATTAAATGTAATTTCAATTTTATTTTGATATATTACATATAAATTACATTTTGTTTATAAATCAATATCTTTATACAATAGATAATATAATATGATTGATATCAAAATAACACATATCATTATTATTATTAATAATCTTTACTAAAATTGAGTATATTCCCCATTATATAATAAAATTAATTTGTATCAATATGTCATTTAGTTTATTGTTCAATATTTTAAACCCGCCTTAATTTACTTTTCATAACAATCCTTATATAATATTCTAATCAATGTTAATGAAACAAAAGCTCCAACAAATGGTAATCCAGCATAAATCCATAAATTCCAAAATCTAGCCCAATGACCATCTTTACAACATTCAAAAAATACTAATCTAATTTATTTGATCATAATATATATATACCCTATAGCAATAGCTGGATTAAGACTACTTTTGGCTACATAACTAAGAGTTCTACCAACTCCATATAATCCACTAATTATAATACTATGTTCTAATCTATCACTAGTAAAATCCATCAAGTCATCATATTAAAACAAAAAGCCTGCAGTAAGAATAAGTGATCCTAAGATTTCTCCTATTATGACTGCAAAATATTCTTCAAATGTAGTTTAAGACAAATATGGAACATCATTTACACTAGTACATAATCTATAAATATTTTACTAATTTTTAAAGCAAAAGAAACCAAGCATGCTTGCTAAAAATGCACCTCCAAATTAACTAGCAATTGCTACTGATACCCATAAACCCTTATCTTTACCAGATAATACAGTAGTAATTGCAGGATTAAATGAACACTTCTGATTTTGAGCAACTAATATTAACATACCATATGCACAACTGAAAACAAATACGTTATTACTTAAATTATTATAATGATTTTACTTGCTGGCATAAATAGAAAATGTTAACATGAATGTACCTAAAAATTCGAACCAGAATATATAGACAGCTTCTTTTTTCATTTATCCTACTTTTGTTTAAGGCATCTTTCCATCTACTTCCCATTTAATTGGTTTATTCTACTATTAAATTTCTTGATTCACTAAATCACTATAGTTTTGTTATTATTCTTCCATTAATCAATAATTATTTTAATTAGAGGAATTCTATATACATAATTTATTATTTTCTGTATAAAAATAAAGGAATAATACAAATAATAGTAAATAGATAATGTAAATAAGAATAGTTTTGTTGAATGATAGAATGATAAATAAATAATGATAATATAAATTAATATAATATTTTTTTGATGGATCAAATGAATAGTAAAGACCTTTTGAATAAGATCAATGTATAATTAAAATCAGCAGTTACAGTATATGCAAAAATTCAAATAGTGAATTATATACTTAATTTGACTTAAGAATATATAGATATGTAAAAAGGGGGGCTAATTTTAGGGTTGGATAATCAAGTTCAATGAAGATGATTGCTTAATATTTGAAAGAATCTTTGAAATGTATTTAAGCTAATGAAGAGCTAATAGATAAAATATTTATGTTATTGTTGAAAATGAATTTAAATGATTAAATATTAAAAGAATCTGAAATGGGACTTTTGTTTATTAAAATAAAAGATAAAAGATTATTGGAAGATTAAAGAGCAAATGTAAATGATTAACTTTAATAAAAATGGTTGAAAATATATGTAAGGTATAGAAGTACTTTGGAAGATTTAAAAAAAAATAACAATTTAAAGGATAAATATGAGGAACGTAAAAAAAAAGTGAAAAGGAATTAATCATCAAGTTCTAATGATTCATCAAATAAAAAGAAAAAAAATAGAAAAAAAAATGTTCGGTATTTTATAAATACTTAAATTAAATAGTTTTGCAAGAGAAGACATTCTAATGAATTATAAATATTTTAAAAGAGATGATGAACCTAATTAAAAAGGAATGACTATAGAAGAAGTGATAGCTTTTTAAAAATTATATTAAGGAGAACTTAAAAGACTTAATCAAATCAATAGTTATGATATTAAACATAGAGAATCTATGATGGAAGGATAAGAACATAAATTATAATTAGATAATATTTAATAAATGATTGAATAAATTCCCTTTATCAAACCTTTGAGTAAATTATTTAAATAAATTATTATTAGAATTACGTCCAACATATCTTGATTCTTATGATACTAATTTCAAAGAAACTCAAAAATAATAAATGAGAACAGAATCCAAAATGTCAGCTTTCTATAATCGAGATGTAAATATTTTCTATATTCATTTATTTCATTTAGATACCTGAATAACCTGGTTATAATGAAATCTCCAATACTTAATCAGGAATGCAACCTAGAAATATTCATCTTGATCCTCCTAAAAGAGAAGACCTTATGTTTATGGTTCAAATCATCTGTAATCGAGGATTCACTGAATTAGAAGATAAACATAAGAATGTCAATAAAAAACAAATCAAAGGCATTTTAAAAAAACCACAAGAGGAATAATCTAAATAGAAGGATATCATGTTGAATCAAGCAAAATAAGATCTCTAACCCAAAATGTAACAATTGGTTCAGATGGTTGAATAGAAACAAAATCATAGCCAGGAAAGCATTCGTAAGAATATTAATTTATTTAAGTCACTTTATTACATGATATTATATAAAAATTAAAGGAAATTGGTGAGGAATAATATATAAAAAATTTTAAATCATTCCTTGAAACTAAGTTGAATGACAAACAATCAATTATAATTGAATAAGAACGCATTAAATCTTAATAAGAATAATAGAGAACTCGAATTGAACAATTATAAAACATCAATCCCATTCAGGCTCAGAGATTAAGAGCATACAAAACCAAGCATTGTCACAATTTTCATTCCTCTATTGGATGCGCAAGAGGAGATAATTGTAATTTCATTCATGACTCCCGTTATCCAGGAAGACCTGCTCCAATTCTTCAAAATCCAAATTTCCTTAACAAAACCCTTTATCCTTAGTCCCATATGTAATCAATTATTCCCCCTTTGCTTCAATAACTAAACCCTACCTTTCTACTAGGAAGGCTAAAAAAGTACGATAGTTTGTGAGTTGATATTTATTAAAAATACATTTAATATGCTAATTTAAACTTCTATTAGTACATAATATAATAAGTATTAAGATTATTCTAAAAATACATTAAAATGTCTCAAGAATTATTATATTAATTAATGAGCAATATGGTATTAGAAAAAACGTATAATGAAAGTATGAATATATATATTCACATAATAAGGTAATTCATGATCTAAAACCTTGTTTTCTAGCAAAGGAACCTATTGCTGCAAACCCAATTAAAGCGATTATTCCAAATAGAACCACATTTGAAAGGAAGTCAAGAATCATTATTGAAATTTAATTATTTAATTACAAATGTCACTTTATAAATAATCTTAATGTTAAAAACCAATTAAATATTTAAGACTATTACATTACTTAAATAAATAAATTATTTTGTTATTGATTCGTATTTTAATTTATTCTTCCCTTATCCATTTATAAAAAGTTAGAGATTTTGATATAAATTCCAATTAAAAAATTAAAACATGGGTTGTATATGTGTAACTATACCAAGAAAAAACTAAATTATGCCAATGCATACTAGAAATAAGGATTTAGTGTTTACTTCGACTGAAGACATTTCTAAAATATATGTTTTTGGTAAAGTACTAGGAGTAGGGTCATTTGGAAAAGTTATAGCTGCTAAAATGAGGAGTAATCCAATGAAATAATATGCTATTAAAATTATAGAGAAAAAAAAAGTAAAAGGCAGAGAAGACATCTTGGCTAATGAAATATATATTTTGTAAAAGTTGGATCATCCTAACATTATCAAATTTCATGAAGTTTATTAAAATAGAATGAACTTTTATATTTGTATGGATTATTGTAAAGGTGGAGAATTAGTTGAATGGATTCCTAAAAAGTATAAAAGTTTTCATGAAAGAAACATTTAGGAAATAATGAAGAAGGTAAAAGACCATATAATTATTTAGATAATATCTGCAGTAGCATATATACATGGTTAAGGAATAGTACATAGAGATATTAAAGCTGAAAATATAATGATTACAAATAAGAAGGATGATGCTGAACCAAAATTAATTGATTTTGGCTTAGCAAATAAATTTGATACATCAAAGTTACGTCGTTTAAAATCTTTTGTTGGAACTCCAATGTATATGGCTCCAGAAGTTATTTAAGGAAAATATGATGAAAAATGTGATATTTGGTCACTTGGTGTTTTATTATTTACATTACTCTCAGGTCATATGCCTTTTCATGGTGAAACAAAAGAAGAACTATATGATAATATTTAAAGAGCTAACGTAAAATATTATAAAAATGTATTTTTAGATTACCTTCACATATAATGCGTGGAAAAATGTGAGTGATAATGCAAAAGATATCATAAGAAAAATGTTGCAAAAGAGTCCAAACCTAAGACCATCAGCAATAAATTTATTAAAACATGAATGGTTTACAAAATTGGCAGTTTTTGAAGAAAAACAAATACTTGATCATCAAATTTCACAAAAAGGCTAAGTATCACCTTCAAATTCTAATTCTGATAACAGATCTATTTATTAGATGTTAAAACAGACATCTTCAAAAGGTGGAAGTAAATTTAGAAAGGAAGTTATGACAATTTTAGTGAAATAATTAAATGAATAAGAATTGAGTAATCTCATAGAAAAGTTTAAATAAATAGATGTTGATAATTCAGGAACAATTACAATATTTGAATTAAGATAAGCACTTATTGCAGAAGTATATATTTATATATTTATAAATAGGGATCACCTGCATCTTTTGATGAAATTGAAAAATTAGTTGAGAATATAACACCTAGAAATAGTTTTGATGTAAAAAAACGATCTAGACCATCAGTTGAATTAAAATATAGTGAATTTTTGGCATCTTGCATTGATGAAAGGAAGTTTTTGACTAGAGAGAAAGTATTAATTATAATAATATTATTAGTTATGGTCATTATTTAAGTTTTTTGATACTGATAATTCAAATTATATTACAAAAGATGATATTAAGGAAGCTTTTGCAAGAAATGCAAAGGCATTTACAGATGATTAGATTGAGGAAATGATTTATGAAATAGATCCTAATCATGATAATAAAATCAGTTTTGAAGAATTCTGTTAAATGTTTGATAATGCTGGAATCTATTAAAAATTAGATGATGACGATGAAATAATAGAAACTTGATTATAATAGTATAATCTTCTCTAATTTTATCATATTATCACTATTTTCCATTTATTTCATTATATGATGATAATTCTTAAAAGTATTATCACTTAATTAAATAATTAATAATATATATAATTTATATGTCATAAGAATGGATGTCATAAAATTATAGAATGAGCATTAGATTAAGGATCCTTAGCATCATCTTTAAATTCTAAAGTTTCTTATATTCCAGCAACTCCCATCATTTAACAAAAAGCATCGAATCCAATTTTATTCTCATTATTAGGATCTATTTCAGATATCATTTAGTTAATTTTTTCAAGTGAAAGTGCACGTCCATGTCTTGCAAATGATTCCCTAATGGCCTCTCTTGATAAATGATTCTCATTCTAAGTATCAAAATATTTAAAAATTGACCATAATTTCTCTCTTGTAAAAACACGTCTCTCATCAATACAGGCAGTTAAAAAGTCACTGTATTTAATTACTAAAGGTTTCGTTGTAGATTTATGAGACATAGTTACTGTTATATCATCCAATTCATCAATGTCATATCCAATGTTTTCCATAATTTCTTCAATTTCCTCTACAGTTGCTAAGGAACCCTTAAAATATTTTTAATCAATACTTCTTGTTGAAGTGCACGATGCAACTCTTGGACTGTTATTGTCCCAGAATTATCAACGTCAATGTTTTTAAATATCTGTTGCAACCTTGATAAATCCTTTTCATTCATTTAATTTACTAAGACTTTCATTACTTCTTTCTTAAATTTAGCACCAATACGATAAGTTTTAAGAATTTAATATAATGTCCTTTAATCATCTTCAGAAGGAGTTCCTGAAAATCCAGTACTTCTTCTAGGAGGTTTATAAACTCCATCTTTAAATAATAGTTGAAACCATGGATGCTTAAGACATTCTTTGGCAGAATATCTTAGATGTTAACTTTTATTAAGCATTCTCTTCAAAAGATCCTTTGCTTCATCACTTGTATTTCTCCAATGTCTTCTATCGAATATTAACTAATATATAATTTAAATTGTATACATTTTGATATTAAATATTTTCATAAAGTTCCTGTCGATTTCTACCATAAAAAGGTGGATAACCCACAAGCATATTAAATAATAATACTCCAAGACTCCAAACATCACATTTTTCATTATATGTTCCTTCAATGACTTCTGGTGCCAAATAGACAGGTGTACCGACTCCAGCTTTTAATTTACTATATTATTATGATAACTTCCTTACTTATAGCTGAAAGCATCATATTTAACTGAAAGCCCAAAATCAATAAGTTTAGGCTCAGATCTGATGTCACGATCTGTAAACATAATATTTTCTGGTTTGATGTCTCTATGTATTATTCCTTATTCATGGATATATGCAACTGCTGATATGATCTATAATTAACATAATAAGTTACTTTAACCATTATATCTCTTGCCTAACCCTCAGTATATGATTTTTAATTTTTGGGTACACTTTCCATAAGTTCTGCTCCTGCACACTTATCCATACAGATATAAAAGTATAGTTCACTTTGATATACTTCATGGAATTTGATAATATTTGGATGATCTAACCTTTATAATACATATATTTCGTTGGCCAACATAGTCTCCCTTCCCTTGACTTTTTTTTTGTCAATCATTTTTATAGCGTATTATTTTTCAGCGTTATTTCTCCTTCTAGCTGTCAGAACTTTACCGAAGGCACCTATTCCTAACACTTTCCCGAAGGAAAATATTTTATGAATGTCAGCTGTTGACGTAAAGATGTATTCTCTATTTGTTGTTTGCATAGCAACAATTTTATTTATTCCTTTTGGTTAGAAACAACCCATTATTTATTTTTTATTATACATTTATAAGATCTAAGATTTGCTTAAATTTCAAAAAAAATTAACTCACAAATCATATTCTTTTAATCGAAAAAATCAATGGATTTTGAAGTGTATTAAAACCTATATAAATAAATTAATTTATAAAATCATAATACATCATACAAGATCCCTAATATAGATTCTAATAAGGATAACCAAATTTTCATTAATTTTCTTATTAAATTCTTTAATCTCCACTAATAAATACAATTTTTAATAATTAATAACAAACTCTACTTTTAGTTTTCTTAAGGAAATTTCTAAATTCAAAATATCAAAACTAATTTTCTGATACTATACTCATAACTATTAGAATAAATAACTCATTTTTAATTATCAGATTTCTTTATATGAATAAAATAATTAATTAATTTTTATACTAATTCAATAATTATCGATTGTTGTAATTTAGTATAAAATTTATATATTATAATAGTTCTCTAAATTCTAAATATAGAAAATTATAATTATTCATTGATTTTACTATCTCAAACATATTAAAAATATAATTATAAAATACTCTCATATCTGAAGTTATATAAAATTCCATAAAATAACAAATAAGAAATATTATTTTTTTTTTCAAAATCTTTCAATTATTGATGTAAATTTAATCGAATAATTACGATATTAATATTAAGATATAAAATTTCAACTTAATCAATTAATATATATATGTGTTATTTTATAATATNTCTGATGTCACGATCTGTAAACATAATATTTTCTGGTTTGATGTCTCTATGTATTATTCCTTATTCATGGATATATGCAACTGCTGATATGATCTATAATTAACATAATAAGTTACTTTAACCATTATATCTCTTGCCTAACCCTCAGTATATGATTTTTAATTTTTGGGTACACTTTCCATAAGTTCTGCTCCTGCACACTTATCCATACAGATATAAAAGTATAGTTCACTTTGATATACTTCATGGAATTTGATAATATTTGGATGATCTAACCTTTATAATACATATATTTCGTTGGCCAACATAGTCTCCCTTCCCTTGACTTTTTTTTTGTCAATCATTTTTATAGCGTATTATTTTTCAGCGTTATTTCTCCTTCTAGCTGTCAGAACTTTACCGAAGGCACCTATTCCTAACACTTTCCCGAAGGAAAATATTTTATGAATGTCAGCTGTTGACGTAAAGATGTATTCTCTATTTGTTGTTTGCATAGCAACAATTTTATTTATTCCTTTTGGTTAGAAACAACCCATTATTTATTTTTTATTATACATTTATAAGATCTAAGATTTGCTTAAATTTCAAAAAAAATTAACTCACAAATCATATTCTTTTAATCGAAAAAATCAATGGATTTTGAAGTGTATTAAAACCTATATAAATAAATTAATTTATAAAATCATAATACATCATACAAGATCCCTAATATAGATTCTAATAAGGATAACCAAATTTTCATTAATTTTCTTATTAAATTCTTTAATCTCCACTAATAAATACAATTTTTAATAATTAATAACAAACTCTACTTTTAGTTTTCTTAAGGAAATTTCTAAATTCAAAATATCAAAACTAATTTTCTGATACTATACTCATAACTATTAGAATAAATAACTCATTTTTAATTATCAGATTTCTTTATATGAATAAAATAATTAATTAATTTTTATACTAATTCAATAATTATCGATTGTTGTAATTTAGTATAAAATTTATATATTATAATAGTTCTCTAAATTCTAAATATAGAAAATTATAATTATTCATTGATTTTACTATCTCAAACATATTAAAAATATAATTATAAAATACTCTCATATCTGAAGTTATATAAAATTCCATAAAATAACAAATAAGAAATATTATTTTTTTTTTCAAAATCTTTCAATTATTGATGTAAATTTAATCGAATAATTACGATATTAATATTAAGATATAAAATTTCAACTTAATCAATTAATATATATATGTGTTATTTTATAATATATTCAATAAATATATCACAACTATATAATACTGAATCAAATATAAAATCAAAAGATAAATTTGTAAAAACTTCTTTGATCTATAACTAATTCAAAGTGGAATAGAATACGTTTTATTTAACATTTAAAATATCTTTCTATTTTATTCAATTTTTAAAGCTATTTCAAAAATAGTCTCTAGCATATTGGGAAATTTGTTATAGGAATTATACTATTCGTTTCAATTTAATTTCTATATTCTTATTCTGTTAATTAATAGTATAAATCCTACTAGAAATTTTTAAGTACGATATTTAAGAAGATAATAAAAATTCAGAAAGGTTAAGTAAAAATGTGAATAGATATTAAATAAATAATTAATGGTTTAAGAATCTTGGCTTATTCAACTATCTTCCCATTAAAATCCTATTATCTTCATTATAAAACTATAATTTCTTTTAGGAATTAGACAGCATAATACATTTCTACATATATTTTAATAGTATAAGAAATATAAAGAATTATTAACTAAGATAATAGAACTAATTTAACTAACTAATAGGGATAAATTTTATGTACTATATTTTAGTTATTATGTTTGAAATTTTGATAGAGCTAATTGCATTAAAATCATATTAGAGTTGGAAAATTGAAAGAAAGTAGTAAATTAGTAAAGAAATGGTTAATTAATGGAATTAAAAATATATTAATCCTTATTATTAAGTCTTGTTTATTTTTTAGAATAATAATAATTTAATTCATTATATATGGGAGATATTTAAGGTGAGAGCGGGCAAAACTTAATTTAATCTGAGTCTATAGGTTTCTTTGAAAAAGTGAAGCAAATTATTTTTCAAGTTCTTTTTGTTTTAAGAAAGGATGAAGAATCAGAAGAGTCTTAATTATCATTTTATATATAAACTGGATTGGATTACTTTTAAATGCATACTTTTCCATTCAATAATAATATTTACTATTTATGGAAGGCTGACAATGTGATTGGATTTGTCTTAAATTTTGTTAATCTATTTTAATTAAGTACTTACATACCTAATATCTCTTATTTTGCTCTTTTGTCATCTGTATATATATTACTTGTAATTATTTTACTAATCATTTTGGATATCATTTATGTTAGTTATTCATTTTCAAAAAATTAATTTGCTGCAACATGGCCTTTGGTTGTATTGAGATCAGTTACTTCACTTGTAGTTACTGTATTGTTTTTGCCAATAACTGAAACTTTATTTTCTATATTATAATGTTAAACAGATCCAACAACTGGAGAATATATAATATCTGGTTATAGTGAAATTTATGTTGTTTGTTGGTAAGGATGGCATACATTTCATGCATTATTGACATTATTGTTTATGTTTATGTTTGTTGCAATTTGTGCTATAGTAGCATATGCATTTTTTGAGCCAGGTATGATGAGTGATGATAGAACAGCAAGATAGGATAGTAAAGGGGAAGTGACATTCATTATTAATAAGGTAACATGTTAAGTATTGTATTGTTTTTTGGGGGAGAATCAATCATGGATTTTAGTATTGGCAACATTTCTAATGGCTGTATGGTTATTTTGGGAATATAATTTTGATGATCCTTATTATGATTTTGAGGTAGGTAGATTCTATTCAATAATATCAAGTTATTATTTATGGGCAAACATTTTATTATTAATGTGTAAGATATTTGAGAATTAAGATTTTAATGGAGGATTTATTGCATGGATAATAGGATTACCATTTATAGTATCAATAATGTTAATGACTAAAAAGTCTAAAATTGATACTTTAATTAAAGTATAGAAGAAGATTAGAAGTGGTAAGGAGATTTGGGCACATATTCGTTATGTTTTGTAGCTTATTCAATAATAAGAAAAGGATAGAAATTCTTATATGCTTTTGATTGGATATATTGAGAAACATAAAGAAACTTGTAAATATAATGATTGCTATTTTAAATTTAGTAGAAGAAGAAATACTGAATTAGATATGAATGATATGATTAGAGGATTAATTTAGGAACTTGAAAAGATGTTTAAAGATGGTATTAAGAAATTTCCAAAGAGTGCTGAATTGAAAATATTCTATGCATTGTTTATTATGGAAAGAAAGAAGAATAAAGAAGGAGCATATAAATAATTTGAATTAATAGATGATAAATGTAAACCAGCATTATATCAATAATTTATTAAATACAGATATATGTAAGACATTTATATTTATTATTTAATAGGAAAAGTATTAAAGAAAATAAGAAAGAAAATAAAGATGATGATATTGTAGAGGCAATTAAATATAATAATCATTAAACAATGTGTGAAAAGAGTATGCAATAATCAGCAAAATTATAAAAAGATTTTTGGGGAGAATTAAAAGAGGATTAGCCTGATTTAGGTAAATTGATGAAATTGGGTGCTGATATTACATATGTTACTAAAACAGCTAGATAGAATTATGAGGAAATGTAAAAGATATCTTAAAATGTATATTAAAGTGTTAAAATATACAGTAATTTTATATTGTATGTTTTAAATGATTAGAAATTAGGTGGAGAATTAAGAAAAATAGCATAAAATATAAAAGAAGAATTTTAAAAAGAATTTGGAGGTAGAAATGAATTTTTAAATATTGATAATTAACCTATTCCATTTATATAAGTGAGTGCTAAAAAAGCAGAAGTAGGTAAGATAGTAAATGTTAATACTTTATTTACAACATTTTTTGGATATTAAAAAGAAGAATTATTAAATAAATCAATAAATGTTTTGATGCCTAAATTATATGCTGAAAAACATGATAATTATTTAATTGAATTTTTTGATAATATTGTATTAAATCTAAAATTAGAAGGTGAAATTGATAGTTAATATTTGGATACAGATTAAACTTAAATATTTAAACATAAAAATGGATATATAATTCCATTTATATATCATGTTACTCTTAATCTAGAAACAATGAAATATTTGACAACATTTAAAAGTGAAAATACTATTAAAAGTTAAGTCATTTTTATTGTTGATAATACTTCAAAAATAATGGAAATGTCATCTGGAGCAATAATCTTTTTTGATTTAGAATTAAAATAAATAGAAAAAGATATTTATCTTAACAATTATATACCAAATATTCTATTATAAAATGAAAAACATATTTAGTATAATCATCAAAGTAAAGATGGATCAGAATGTAATATTAATATAATACTTAATAGAGACATTCTATTTTTCATGTATGATTAAAGAGATTAAATTACCATAGAGAATGGATGAAAGTACTCATGGTAAAGTAAACTAAAAGGATGAAACTAATAATATAAAAACTGGCAAATGGTTAGTTAGATTAGAGAAATTAGAAAAAAATGAAGTAAATTTAGGAGGTCAATAAAAGAAAAATAAGAATTTTGCTGTAAGTACTCGATAACTTATAACAACAAATACAAATACTAATAGTAATCCAAATTCATAATAATATCTTTAAACTTCTAAAATACAAGTTAATTAATCAATTGATGGATAAATACCTAAATTTGATACTAATTTAGAGTTTGATCAATAATATGCAGTATTTTTATCTGAATTATATTCAGAACCTAGGTATGATGACTATAAAATGCTTTTAAATTAATAGGTTGAAAGTGATGTGAATCCAGTTGTTGATTATTCTTGTGATATTGTTGTTAGAAGATTAATAAGAAATTAAATATTAAATATAGATGAAGAAAAGGAATAAGAATTTTTATTATAATTAGAAGAGGAAGAAGAAGAAAATTCAATATTTAGATTCAATTAAAATTAATATGAAGATGAAGATGATTATAAAATATTTGCTCATAGAAATTCTTAAGATCTTATAAGACGAGTATTAAATTAAGATCACAAACATATTAAAATTACAGAGTTCAAAGTATATTCAAATCTTTGGATATTTTTCATCTTTTTTATTACAATTCTTTAATATTTATTTTGTTAATCATACTTTATTTCTTATAAAGAGAGTATTAAATCAATTTACTTAGTGAATAATGAAATTATATATCAAAATTAAGTAATTTCAAGAGTTTTAGATTTATGTTTACCTTAATAATTTAATATTACTTAATTATATCAAGAACTTTAATATGCTGCTAATAATGCAACAGCATTTAATTAATTTGTTAATTCTGCATTATTAGATTATTACTTTGATAATCATTTTATTACATTAAGATTTTATGATGGTGATTAATATTCTGAGATCAATATAAAATTAGAGAGTGCTTTATTATTAATTGAATCTTTAGCATTAAATACAACACTTTTAAGTAATCAAACATTCAATTATAAAAGTAATATGATATAAAATATTGTTTATAATCATTTCAATGTAGTTCATCAATAAGTTATTGATATTGCTTATGAATTATATTCAAATGTAGAAACTTAAATGAGTTAATATGATGTAAATCTATTAATTACTTTGGGAATTCTAATCTTAGTAACAAGTTTAGCAATGACAAAATTCATTACTTTAATGTTAAGTATTAAAATGGATAGAGAAAACATATTATTCTTATTTTTAGATATTCCATAAAAACATATATCTATTTTATATAAGAAAGTTGAATATTTTATTAAAAATTATATTAGTATAGAAGAATTAAAAAGAAAAAATGAATTAGAAGGTTATGATTCAAGTGAAGAAGAATAAATGTAGGAAGATTAAATTAAAATATAAAAAAATCCAGAAGAAGAAGAGAATTTTATTTAATTATAATTGAAAAGAAAGAAAATTATAGAAAAATATAGAAAAAATAAGTTTAAAGGTAATTAAGCAATTATCATTCAATTTATATTTATTGCTCTATGTACATTAATATTTGCTGTTTACAATATCATCAGTTCAGCTAGTGAAAGAGATCAAATTAGATATTTACTTCCTCAATATTTTTCAGGTTCCATGGATATATCTGAATATGGAAATTATCTCAATATTTTTAAATTAGCAATATTAGATAATTCATTTAATTTAATTAATTCAACTTCTTATTAATCAGCTTTTAATGATATTTAAACTTTTACTGGTAATCAATTAAGTTCTGTAGACTTTGCGTCTGCTTTGTTAAATCAATTGCCTACATTAAGAGATAAGTATTTTGGAATTTATTATGGAGATATTTGTAATGAATTAGGACTTACTAGAAGTGATACTTGTTATACAATTATTGAAGGAAATCTTGAATTAGGAATTTTTAATGTTGAACAATATTATTTATAATATTTTAGACATCAATTATCAATAAATTAAAAAGGTTAACTAGCATATGATCCATATATTTATTAGATAGATTAATCAATGTATAATTATGTAAGAAAAGCAGTAGATTAAGTATAAAGCTATTAATTATCAATGATGACAAATTAGATGGATGAAACATTAAATATTTAACTTATACTTGTTATAATATTCATATTAGTATTACTATTAATTTTTGTAATCTATTGGTTACCATTTCTAACTAGTATTAATTCATAAGTAAATTTAATTAAAAATAAAATAGATTAATTAAAACATATAAATGTTAAATATGATACCAATAGATGTAATTAAGGATAATAAGACTATTAGAAGATTTTTAAAAAATATAATTAAAGATATGAATATTTAAGATTGATAACATTATTATATTTTATATATATTTTTTATATTAGAATATTGGTATAAATGTAATAGTTATCAGTTTAATAATATTTAATACATAATACTGATCATATATAAGAGGATTCTAGAATTATTTTTAAATGAAAATACAAATTTTAATTTTAATATTAAATAACTAGATTAATTAAAGAATAATTAAATTTAAATATAATTTGAAATAGTATTTACACAATAAAATTTACTAAAAGATATATAAAGGTTGTTAGATTGTTGAATTAGTATTATTAATTTTCTCTATGATTTAAAAATAATATAGAGTGGTGGTAAAATATAATTACTAAGTATTGAAATAACAAAAATTCCGTTCTTAAATTTTAAAATAATAACATCAAAAATATATTTATTTATATGTAATGTTTATTTTGATTAGAACATGAATCATAATTTAAAACAAAAAAGACTTAAAAGTATAAATTAAATCATTTTAAGAGTCAAAAAAAATTTTAATATATTTTAGGCTTATTATTTATTAATTTTAATAACATGTATTGGTATAATTTTGGCATTTCGATAAGTTTTTCTAAAGAACACAATTATTCTAAGAATTTCCATAGATAAATTTTTGTTGATGATGTAATGTTTTTAAAAAATAAATAAACAATATGATTACAACTTGTATATTTCTTTCCTTTTTTATGGTTGTGATTGCATAGTGGGAACTTTTAAGTGAAGATTTACTTGGATTCTCCGTTTCTGGAGCTAAATGGAATTATAGAGGTTCATGTGATTGGAATAGTGGAAGCATGGGTGGAGGTGGAGCAGTTGGGCAGTGTTAAGATAATGATATCTAATACATTTTAGTAGGGACTTATAATGATAGAGCATACTACTCTGTTTTAAATTTGCCTCCTCATTATTAAGTCAAAGCCATAGTGGATGGCTATTTTTTAGATTCTTCTGGTAGTAACTTTTATTATATTTCGTATGATGTCTAAGGATCATCAACATCTACTTATTCATTACAATATAAGGATAATATATTAGCAACTTATTAAGTAGCCTGTAGATCATCAAATTGGAATAATTTTGAGATATAAACTTTTATTATGACATTCTCTCATAATGATAATAGTGAAGTAAGATTTCGAGTTTGTGGATCAAATTTTGGTAGTAGTAGAAATTATGGTGTAAGAAGTTTATAGATATATGTTAATAAATGTCATTGGTCATGTTTAAAATGTAGTTCTAACAATTAAGCAAATAATTGTTTAGCTTGTTTTACTAATCCTTCTACTACTTTAGGTTCCCCTTCAACCTGTAGTAGTTGTCCTGCTAATTAAGCCTTTATTGAATATATTGATGATATAAAAAGTTGTGTAATAGAATGCAATTATTATCGGGTTCCAGATACCAATAAAGTATGCTAATTTGATGAAAGTATTTATCTTAATTTTATTTAGATATGTTACCCTACACAACATATTTTGACACTTCAACTTTTAGTTCTACATCTCCTTGGGTATTTGTTCCTGATCCAATCTACTACAATTTAGTATTTTCATAAAAGATTGGAACTATTCCTTGCTAAACTAGCAAAAACTATGTTGGCCCATTTTTTTATAATGAAGGATTTAGTGTAACCCTCTCTATTCCTTTTAATATATCATATATACGATTTAGAGCAACAATTGTAAAATTAAATAATTGGGCTGATTATTCAGCAGTTCATGTATTATTAGATAATGTGGAATTTGCATCTGTTTATACATTAAGCTAAGTATTAACAGGTCGTAATGCTGATAAACTATATTCTGATTCTAATTGTACAAGTCCAAGTGTTGGATATTATAGATTAGAAGCTAAATTAAAATCAAATATAACTAATCCGATATTGTTGTTATAAGGATCAATGGAGTATATATATATTTAATACGTAAAGTTTATCTGGTTCGTAATCATGGGGCTTTAGAGATGTAGTTATGGATATTATGAAATGCTAATCATCATGTAGTTGGTGTGATTTTGATTTGAAATGCTATGCTTGTTCAACAGGATTTCTTTATAAAAATAGATGTGTACCAAGTTGTCCAGTACACTCAGTATAAACAACTGGAGTTTGTACAGACTTTGATCAAGCAGTAGATAGTATTAATTCTATTAATATTTAGATTCAAAATATTTAATTAAAGCATTTTATGATTCTTCCAATACGACTGATACAGATGTAAGTAATATTGTAGGAATAATGACAACTGGAAGCTCAGATTTTAAAACATCAGATCGCTTTTTAAACACTAATATTGCTGTATATTTTAGCTATTACATGGGTAAAAGAGTATTAGGAGGTCCATTAGTTTGGAACAAAGCTACATTTACTAATACATATACTTTAAATCCACATTATTAATTTAGATTGAAATTTACATTAGTTTTAGGAGATAGTTTTTCAGGAAATTTTCAATATACAATTGGAGGAGTTTCTTAGACAATATCATATTCTTAGTGTACAAATACAGTAGATAATGTTGGTAGGTCTCAATAAGATAGATTCATTATAATTGATAGGACAGAAGTGCATACTACAAATAGTTTTTCTGTTTAACTAAAATGCAGTTCATCATCATAAATTAGAGATAACTTTTGCATTGTTTATGATTATTTCATTATAATTTTAGAAGTAAATAATTAATAATAATTAGTGTACTTAATATTGTACTGCTTGTACTGGTCCAACATGGGCATAATGCACAGGAAAATAAACATTACCAACAGGTATGTCATCACCTTCAACCTGTGTTGACAATACTTATTATTTAGATAATACAGTTACTCCTGCAGTTTGTAGAACATGTACACCTACTTATTGTTTAGAATGCTAAAATTCTTATATTTGTACTAAATGTGCAACTAACTTTTATTTGTAAAATGGTAATTGTTAATGTTATCCTTGGACCTATTTAACAGTTTCAAATACTTGTGCAAATTGTCATGATTTATGTGATTCATGTTATGGNATATCATATATACGATTTAGAGCAACAATTGTAAAATTAAATAATTGGGCTGATTATTCAGCAGTTCATGTATTATTAGATAATGTGGAATTTGCATCTGTTTATACATTAAGCTAAGTATTAACAGGTCGTAATGCTGATAAACTATATTCTGATTCTAATTGTACAAGTCCAAGTGTTGGATATTATAGATTAGAAGCTAAATTAAAATCAAATATAACTAATCCGATATTGTTGTTATAAGGATCAATGGAGTATATATATATTTAATACGTAAAGTTTATCTGGTTCGTAATCATGGGGCTTTAGAGATGTAGTTATGGATATTATGAAATGCTAATCATCATGTAGTTGGTGTGATTTTGATTTGAAATGCTATGCTTGTTCAACAGGATTTCTTTATAAAAATAGATGTGTACCAAGTTGTCCAGTACACTCAGTATAAACAACTGGAGTTTGTACAGACTTTGATCAAGCAGTAGATAGTATTAATTCTATTAATATTTAGATTCAAAATATTTAATTAAAGCATTTTATGATTCTTCCAATACGACTGATACAGATGTAAGTAATATTGTAGGAATAATGACAACTGGAAGCTCAGATTTTAAAACATCAGATCGCTTTTTAAACACTAATATTGCTGTATATTTTAGCTATTACATGGGTAAAAGAGTATTAGGAGGTCCATTAGTTTGGAACAAAGCTACATTTACTAATACATATACTTTAAATCCACATTATTAATTTAGATTGAAATTTACATTAGTTTTAGGAGATAGTTTTTCAGGAAATTTTCAATATACAATTGGAGGAGTTTCTTAGACAATATCATATTCTTAGTGTACAAATACAGTAGATAATGTTGGTAGGTCTCAATAAGATAGATTCATTATAATTGATAGGACAGAAGTGCATACTACAAATAGTTTTTCTGTTTAACTAAAATGCAGTTCATCATCATAAATTAGAGATAACTTTTGCATTGTTTATGATTATTTCATTATAATTTTAGAAGTAAATAATTAATAATAATTAGTGTACTTAATATTGTACTGCTTGTACTGGTCCAACATGGGCATAATGCACAGGAAAATAAACATTACCAACAGGTATGTCATCACCTTCAACCTGTGTTGACAATACTTATTATTTAGATAATACAGTTACTCCTGCAGTTTGTAGAACATGTACACCTACTTATTGTTTAGAATGCTAAAATTCTTATATTTGTACTAAATGTGCAACTAACTTTTATTTGTAAAATGGTAATTGTTAATGTTATCCTTGGACCTATTTAACAGTTTCAAATACTTGTGCAAATTGTCATGATTTATGTGATTCATGTTATGGTCCAAATAGTAATTAATGTTTGTCTTGTAAAAGTTCTTAACATCGATATTTGAATAACAATACATGTGTTTGTTAAAATAATTATTATGATGATGGTATAAATAATACTTGTTAATCAATTTGTGGAGATATGATAGTCACAGAAGGAGAAGATTGTGATGATGGTAATACAATTAGATTTGATGGCTGTAATGATTGCAAATATGAATGTTAAAAGGAATGTTTAACATGTGTTAATGGATAATGTTCTGTTTGTATTGCTGGTTACACACTTTAAAAGACTATGAAAAGATGTTATCCTACATGTGGAAATAATTCTATTGTTAGTCAAGAATAATGTGAGGATAATAATTTGACTCCATATGATGGTTGTTATAATTGTTAATTTTAATGTTAATCTTAATGTACAAATTGTATATATGGAAAATGTTATGATTGTGATAATTCTATTGGATATTATATTAATTTAGCCACTTTTAAATGTGTTACTTTTTGTGGAGATTTAATTATAGCAGGAGAAGAAATGTGTGATGATGGAAATAATGATCCTTTTGATGGTTGTATTAATTGTGCTTATTCATGTGATTCTTTTTGTGATTTATGTATATTTGGTGTTTGTACAAAGTGTAAATAAGGATTCTAATTATTAAGTAAAAGTGGTTAATGTGCTCCTATTTGTGGAGATAAAATTGTTACATATTATGAAGCATGTGATGATGGTAATTTAATTAATTATGATGGATGTGATTAATGCAATCTTATTTGTTAAGAATAATGTACATCTTGCATTTTTGGAACTTGCTATGAATGTAATACACCTGGATATTAATTAGATAGAAATTTATAAAAATGTATTCCTATATGTGGAGATAATGTATTAATTCCACTAACTGAATAATGTGATGATGACAATTAAACAATAGAAGATGGATGTTTTTAATGTAAATATGAATGTTAGGCTGAATGTTTAACATGTGCAGCTGGAATCTGTTATAGATGCAAATCAAATTTTTATCTTAATTCTGAAAATACTTGTCTTCCTATTTGTGGTGATGGAGTTATTTCTAAATTTGAATCTTGTGATGATTTCAACTTTATTATTTAAGATGGATGTTCAAATTGCTCTTACTAATGTGAATTACCTTGTACTCAATGTATTTTTGGTGTTTGTCAATCATGTCAAACTGGATATTATTTAAATCAATCTAAAAAGAAATGCTTCCCTATTTGTGGTGATTAAATTATCTAAGGAGATGAATAATGTGATATTGGTATCATTCCATTCGATGAAACTATTAAAAATAATACAGGTTGTATTAGTTGTTAGCTTTAATGTTCACCATAATGTGAAATTTGTGCTTAAGGTTTATGTTTGAAATGTAAAGAGTCTTTGGGATGGTATTTAGATTATGAAACATCAATTTGTTATAGTTAATGTGGAGATTCAATTATAAGCGATTATGAATAATGTGAGGATTCTAATTCTTAACTAAATGATGGATGCAGTCAATGTGTTTTTAAATGTTAACAAGAATGTTCAATATGTATATTTGGATTATGTTAACAATGCATATCTGGATATACATTAATTAATTAAAAATGTTAATCAGTATGTGGTGATGGGATAATAGCTGGAAATGAAGAATGTGATACAGGTATTATTTCCTTTGATGGATATGAATGTGTAAATTGTAAATATAAATGTTCAGAAGGTTGTGATAATTGTGTTTATGGTAGATGTTTAGAATGTAAAAACAATTATGGATGGTATTTAAATTAACAAAATTAATGTGAATCAAAATGTGGTGATTTAATAATCAGTAATTAAGAGAATTGTGATGAGAATTCATAAAATTGTGAAAATTGTAATTTTATTTGTGATGATAATTGTGATTAATGTTAATTTGGAATATGTTAAAGTTGTATAACAGGATATAAATTATTGTTAAATAAATGTATTAACATTTGTGGAGATTCAATTCAAACAAATAATGAAGATTGTGAAAATGATGATATTATTCCATTTGATGGATGTTATTTATGTTAATTTTAATGTCAAAATGAATGTTAATAATGCATAAATGGAGAATGTATATCATGTTATGAAAGTAATGGATGGTATCTAGAAAATAAAAAATGTGAGACAAAATGTGGTGATGGTATTATAGCTGGATTAGAAGAATGTGATATCAATTTGAAATTTGATAATGGAGATATTTCATCTAATAAATGTTTTAATTGTCGATTATCTTGTGTTTAAAATTGTTTAAATTGTGATAGAGGAGTTTGTAAATAATGCAAAAATGGATACTTTCTAAATGAATTAAACGAATGCGAAAATATATGTGGTAATTTAACAACTGAAGACTTTGAAGTATGCGATGATGATAACCTTAACGGTTTTGATGGATGTTTCTAATGCTAATATGATTGTTAACCTGAATGTTAAGTTTGTATTAATGGAGAATGCATTAAATGTGAAGATGGATTTTAGTTTTATAATGATGCTTCTACATGTAAATCTACATGTGGAGATATGAAAATTACTTAATATGAAGAGTGTGATGACGGTAATGATGTACCTTATGATGGATGCTATAATTGTAAGTATTCCTGTACAGAAAATTGTGATAATTGCATAAAAGGAGTTTGTTACACTTGTTTATAAGGATTTGTCCTTGAATTTCCAAAATGTATACCTGATTGTAGAGATATTAGTCAAACTTAGGATGTTAATAAATGTTATTAAAAAGAATGTTAAAGAGAATGCATAATTTGTATTGAAGGATATTGTTATTAATGTTAACATGGATGGTATTGGAATGAAGTAGAATATATTTGTGAAAGCATTTGTGGAGATGAAATAATAGTAGGATAAGAGTAATGTGATATGTCTATCAGTTATGCAAGAGATGATTCTTATTGTAATAATTAATGCTAATTTGCATGTCCAAAATATTGTGATAATTGCTCATTTGGTATTTGTCAATAATGTTAAAGAGGATATTATTTAATAGAAAATGAATGTCATAATTATTGTGGTGATACTATAATGACTGAGTATGAAAGATGTGATGATGATAATATTTTACCATTTGATGGATGTTTTTAATGTCGATTTGATTGTGAATAATAATGTTCTTTATGCATTGAAGGTAAATGTGAGATTTGTTTTAATGGTTATGAAATAAGAAATGGGCGTTGTATATCTGTATGTGGAGATGGTATTATTACTATTGATGAAGATTGTGATGATCAAAATTCTATTAAATATGATGGTTGTCATGAATGTAAATTTGAATGTGATAAAAATTGTTTATTTTGTGAATTTGGTCAATGTATATTTTGTTAAAATGGTTTTTATTTACAAGGTCAGATTTGTATTTCAGTTTGTGGAGATGGTTTTATTGTTGGAAATGAGAAATGTGATGATGACAATTTATTTGATGAAGATGGATGTTTTCAATGTTAATATGCTTGTTAATAATAATGTTTAACTTGTATATATGGGTCATGTATTCTATGCAATGAAGAAGAAGGATGGCATTTGACATCATAAGGAGATTGTTAAGCTGTTTGTGGAGATAGTATAGTATCTGGAATAGAATAATGCGATGATGGAAATGAAATAAATTATGATGGATGTTATCTATGCAATTATATTTGTTAAGATGCTTGTACTAAATGTATTAATGGTTAATGTTATGAATGTAATACTCCAGGTTGGAGATTAGAAGACTATTTTTGTTGGGAGATTTGTGGAGATGCATTAAAGGTTGGGATTGAAGAATGTGATGATGGTAATGATGTTCCTTATGATGGATGTTATTAATGTAAAACATAATGTGAAGAGGCTTGTACTGTCTGTTTTGATGGATAATGTTAAGAATGTGTATATGGTTGGACATTAAATGAAAAACATAGATGTGAAACTATATGTGGAGATAAATACATAGTACCTATATATGAAGATTGTGATGATGGTAATTTATTACCTTATGATGGATGCTATGATTGTAATTATTAATGTGTATAACATTGTACTGATTGTAGGAAAGATATATGTTATGAATGTAATACTACTGGTTGGACTTATGATAATCAAACTTAATTGTGTATTCCTATTTGTGGAGATGGAGAGATTAATGGATATGAATAATGTGATGATGGAAATAAAATTGAAAATGATGGTTGTAGTAATTCTTGTGAATATTAATGTCATTTTGCATGTCTTAATTGTGATAAAGGTAAATGTATAGAATGTGATCGTTATTTGGGATATTTTGAATCAAATAAATAATGTGCATCAAAATGTGGTGATGGATTATGGGAATCTACTACAGAATAGTGTGATGATGGAAACCTTATTAATTAAGATGGTTGTGATAAAAATTGTAAGATTGAAGTTGATTGGTATTGTGACAGTTAAGCATTACAAATTAGTATTTGTATTTTCAAAAGATAACCAACTATTTAATTAAAATTGTTATCTTAAAATTAAGGGCTATCTAAAATTGAAGTGACATTCTCAACATTAATGATGCTTTAACCTAATTTTGTTTTGATTGAGAATGAAAATAATTTAACTGATACTGAATAAATTCTCTTTTTGGTTACAATTGATTAATTAACAGAAGGGGATTATGAATATAATATTGAACCAGTAGTTAGTATTTAAAATATCCCTTAGGATATTAAATACATTATTAATTTAAATCTCTTAAACAATGTTCAAGTTGATCAAATTAATGTTTTGGTAATTGTTGATAAACGATTAATTATTACTGAAGATTATGTCAATTTAGAAAAGAATTCTGCTGAGATTAGAATTCCTGCTCCATATATTAATAGTTTATAAGCTTAAAGAGTAGTTGAATTATTTTCAAATGCTAATGAAATTTCTTAATATGTGGCATTAAGTGTTTCTATGATTAGTATATTTTCAACAGGTTATTCAAATCTCTACATGACTCTTGATACAATCTAATATCTTTATTATACTAGATATATTAATTTGGATTTTCCTGAAAATTTATAATAAACAATGGACAATTTAAAAAAGTCTTCATTGAATTCTATAATAAAAGATAAACTTGGTGAAACAGGATTACCCAAAAGTATTGCTTAATAACCTAATTAAACAGTTGAAGAAATGCCAAATAAATTTAAATAAGATAATTTGTAGTATTAATTTACTTACAATATAAAAACAACAGCAGTTTCTTTATCAGCTGGTTTGAGTATCTTTCTAACAACATTAACTATATCTAAATTACTTCATTTGATTCCACCTCATAAATTAAATGATCTTGGTTCTATAATAGGTGGAGGAATATTGAAAGTACGATCAAAATGTACTAAGATATCTAATGACTTTGTTTATTCAGGAGCTATAAGATTAATAACTATTAATTTTTATGAAATGTAATTTGCATCATTATTATAATTAACACATGTTGATTTCACTTCTAATAGTGATATTGCTAATTCAAGTGGGGCTATTGCTACTCTGGCCTTCACATTTATTTTTACTACAATACTAGTTCATAGAATTAGATAGATTTAAACTAAATAATCTATTACAATGAAACATTATATAAGAACTCTTTTGCAATAGGATGATAAAAATCTTTAAAAGTCAACATGGTAAATGTAGTATAATACAATATTGCTTGTCAAAAAGTCAATATATATGTTTGCAATTGTTTGTTTCTAAAATTAAGGTTTTTATTAAACAATTGTAGTTGCTACATAAGCAGCAGCATTTGTTACTTATTTGTCTGTATCTTCACCATTTTCAAATAATGAAGATTAAATTAAATAGATAATCACAGAATTAGGAATGTTTGCAAATACTCTAAGTTTTAGTGCTTATTATACATATGAATACTTTTCAATACCAAAAGAAAGTCTAAATTAATTAGGATGGTTTAATATAGGTATATATACTACAATTTTAACATCAAATTTAGCAATTGATGTTACTACATAAATGAGAGTTTTTTATAAGAAAGCAAAGAAAGCATTTAATAAATTTTTAGAATCTTAAATGCCTACTAAATCTAGAGTTTAACCAATATTTGTATGATATGCTCTTATATATATATAATAATTAAATTTATTTAACATATAGTTTATTCATCAAATATTTTCAACATTATTAAGTATTCTTTTTTAATAAAAAATTTTATAAAAATTATAGTATGAAAATATTATTCTGGTTGATCTCATAGGGATATATGTGGTTACCTAGAAAAATACAGAAATCTGTACAAAAATCTATACTATTATAACAGGGAATTGATTAAATATAAAAAGTATCATCTAAAATTTAAATTAGATTGAGTTCTCAAATGGAGAAGTGTAAAAGATTACAAATTTTGAAATTGCAACCAATAATATTAAATTAATTAGTGTATGGAAATGTTTTATTTGTTTAGATTAATACTATTATAGTGATATTTATAGAAAAAATTATAAGCATTGAAAATATTATAATACTAGGAATTCTGATTATAGTACTTTCTGGATAAACTTATCATCATGATCAAAACGAAGAAATTATTGTATATTATACTCTATTTTGTTATCTCTTTAATTTATTGTTATATCTTGGAAACATATTAATAATTGCATTTTAACGAATGATATAATAAAATACCATTAATTCTTAAAAATGCACTATTATTGCTAAATTTCCAGATTTAACAGCAAAATAATTATCAAATTAAAACGTTGAGTAAATTAACATATATTATTTTAATAGATTACGTTCATATGAAACTATTAATTGGAGTTAATTAAAAGTAGGTCACATTATTTGCTTATAATAAAATGAATAAAGTCCTGCTGATTTATTGATATTAGATTCTAGTAAAGAGTAGGTTTTAATAAATTTTGATTAAAGAATTCCATGCTCTTGTACTTTTGTTAGTTTAAATTAAACAATTAAAGGAAATATTTTAGATTTTAAAACAAAATTAAGTGGAACTATTTAATTCACTATTACAGATCTTTCAATTTAAGGCACAATTAAAATGAAAAATGATCCAAAACTAACTCCATTTACTAAAAAGAATATGATTTAAAGAGGAGAAATATTAGATTCTGTTGATTGGATATTTGGTATGGTAATTAGAGTAGGTAATGATTGCATTGCTTAATCTAATTTTTCCAATTAAAATTTTACACAATCTAGTTGGATAAATAATATTTATTAGTAGATTATACTAATATTTATTGTATTGTTTATAATATTATTTGTTCCAAATATCATTTTTTATTCTTTTTAATCTTATGAGAAATATTTCTATAGTAGTATTACTTATTGTTTATTAATAATACCTTAAAATTTATTATGGTTAAATTAATTATGGCTTCTAATTAATATGATAAGAAATAATATGATATTTAATAAACAATAAGATAAAGAATGTGTTAGATAGAAATCAATTAATAGATTATTGAGTGAAATTAATGAAAATCAATTACTTATTATATCTGAAAATGATAAGAAAGTTCTATTACCAATATAAAAATAATTTAAAATAAATCTCTTAACTATTTAATAAACAGAAATTGAAACTTAAAAAAAGTAGAAAAGAAATTTTAAAGGATTTTTGACATTCTCACCTAAAAATATACTTGATATGATTAAAGGAGATATGATATTAATAGATAATCCTTAAGAAATATTTAAAAATAAACATTAAATTATGTAAATAATTACTAAAAATTAAAAATAATATATATTTAACTACTAAAAATTATAAGAATTAATTAAAAAAGCATCACCTACATTAAAAACCAATTATGATAAATTATTAATAGATACTAATAGACAATAGACTAATGATGAATAAAAGACACAAGATTTAGATTTTTTATTAGCTGAAAAAAAAGTTCCTAATTTAAGAAATTCAAATGAAAGCTTTAATTAAATTAAAAAACTTTAAATGGCATCAAGGGATGAACTTACAATTAAAACCTTATCAGGCACATAAAAACAATAATTACCTAAAAAGAAAAGTACAAGATATATATTTGATTAATCATTTGCAAAAAAATCATTAGAACGAATTGATTCTATGAAAGACCTAAATAAAGTTAATAATAGTGCTTCCAATATTAATACTACACCACCTGTTTCTCTGTAAAAATAAAGAAGTTAATTTTTTGGTAGAGGTGGAACTTTAATAAAATAATTCAATAATAATTCTTCTCTTTAAATATCTCCAATAAAATAGAGTGAAGATTAAGGAACAGACAGATTGATTGGAGATTATTATAATGAATAAGATTTTATAGATTAACTTTATAAAAAGGATGATACTCTTCATAATGAAATTTTATTGATGATTTTAATTACTAATAATATTTTGAGTGTTTTTGATGATTAAACTAGAGAATTATAATTTAATTTTGGGAATAAATTTGATTAATCATTATTAGAATTCACAAAAATTTTTAATTATTAATTATTATGTAGTACTGAAATTGAAAACTCAAGATTAGATTATTAATTAAAAACTTATATAAAAAAGGTTATATCTATTGAAAATTAGGTGAAAGTTTTTGAAATTTTGGCATTTTTAGAACCAACTGAAAATAGAAAGAATACTTTGTCTGTTTTAGTAAGAGATCCTGAATCATTTCTATTAGAAGAAGGTTCTATATTATATACAAGAATTTAAACTAATGAATTGAAAAATCTATTAAAAGGGAAAAATGATTCTAATAACATATAACCAGAATATTATAACTATTATAATGAATAATTATAAGAATTATTATGGGATGGTTAATCAACTTTTATTTATAGTAAAAGATAGTTAAATTAACATCAAACATAAGAATTTTTATAAAAATTATCTTAATTACATGATGCTTATGGGAATAGATCATAAGAAATAGAGATTGAATACTAAAAATTAGAATCATAAAATGAAATCTTATTTTGTATAGGTATTAAATCAGGACATCATAATAATTAAATACAAATATTACAAAATGAATTTAATATAGATTCTCTTTAAGATGATAAACTTTTTCAAACTTTGTAGATGTAAAATATTAAAACTTGTTTAACAACTTCAGAGTCATATGAAGAATTGATTATTTTTCTTAGATCTCATTAAGTTGTTTAAAAAGAATAAATAGTTCATTTTAATGAAAGAGATATTTAATAATTATAATATAGATTTAGATAACATATATAATATATGTTAGAAGAATAAGATATAATGGGATGTGATATATAAAAACATTTAGAAAAATATATAATCATCAGTAAATAATCATTCAAAATAATATTGTAAGATGATTATTTAAAATATCATTTTGTATTTATTACATAATTTGCAAGTGGATTAGGAGCTTATGAATTTACTGGAAAATGTAATGGATAATTAATAAAATTACTAAAATTAAATAATAAGAAAATAATAACAATTGGAAATTCTTTATAAAATAATTATTTATTTAATAAATCAGACATAAGTTTTACTTTATCTTAAAATAATCGTTTTTTTTGTATAACTTAACCAAATTTCATAGTTAAGAATATTAAATAGATATTTTCACTTTTTTATTTTTATTGTACTTAGTATTTATAAAATTACATTTCTCTTTTAGAAATACAAATATACAGAAGTACTTTAATAGGATTATCAGTTTTTGGGATAAGTTTTTCATTAAACGATATAAATTTATATACTTTAATAATATTTTATCTTATTCCAAGCAACTTATTAACATTTATTTATTAATAATATTTACTTATTAATTAAGTAGATTATGATTTAAAACATCTTAATAGTTTTGCTAAAAGATTGAATATATTAAAAAATGAAAAAATATTTAAATAGATAAGTAAAATAACAATAATTGGATTATTTGATTCTTCATTTATAATTTTATTGGAAAAGGCACTAATAAACTTATCATATAATGATGGTAAGATAAACTAAACATTATAAATATTGTTATTGTATACAGGTATTGAATTGTTAGAGAAAAGTAAATTATTATTTATTGTTTTTGATATGTTTAATGATATTTTATATAAGATTAAGCAAATTCTTATTATGATATTTATAGCATTGATTTTATCAATTAGTTATTTAATAGTACAATCAATTTAAGATAATTAAAAGATTTCATTGTAATTCAATTTTGTAGGATTATTAGTTTTTATATTTATGGCTATATTTTTAATAGGTTTATCATTTGTGATGTATTAATTATTATAATTCATTAATATTGAGTTTTCATTTCCAATTGATAATGTTTAATTAGATATTAACATGAAAGAGATCAATGATATAAAATAAAACTTAAACTTTGAAATTAATGAAAAAGGATACTTTTAAAATATAAAGAAAATGATAGAAACATTATTTGAAAATATGGATATTGTTGATGAATAGATAACTAAATTTATAAAAGTAGATTAGACAGCAATAGATTATATGGATAAAAATCATGGATTTTATGATAGAAGAACAGAGAATGATTTTATGGATTTCTTTAGATAATAGAATTGGTAAAAATATAGTTTATTATATGTATTTATATTTTATGAAGTAACAATATTTATAGTTCATTTATACGAAATTATGATGAATAACTTTTCAACATCAATCCTAATAATAATTATAATTTAATTATTAATATAATTATTAATTGTAATTTTATAATTTAAATTCATAAACAATAGAACTTTATAATAATAATTATAAATATTGTCATTTGGATTAAAATTTGTATTTAAAATTTTAATAGATTTACTTTATTTAGATTAAAGTAAGGAATTTAATGCATTTTTATATCATACTTTATTTATTTTATCTTTTGCACTTACAACACAACCAAAAATCAATATATATTTATATGTTGCTTTATAAGTCATTATGTATCTTTTTAATTTAGTATTGGATGGATTCACAATAAATTTTGAGAATGTTAATTAAGCTATATTTTGTTCATTAAAATATTTTTTTATAATAATAGAGATCTCATACCCTATTTTTAATTACATATAGAAAATATAATTTTTATAAAGATCATCCTATGTTTATTAAAATAGAT